TATTCTGTGATTACTGTGTGATCATCTCCGTTACAATGCGCACATTTTTTTTTAAAAAAAAGATGAGGATGGCTTCAGATCTTCCGGGTTGTGTGTTTTGAGTCACTGCTTTTTTTTTTAAATCCTGTATACGTTTGCTCCGTTTGCAGCAAGAAAACAGACACCACGAATCATTTTGTAAAGGAAGCAAAGTAATTTGGGTTCAATAACACTGTGCTGCTGTGTGTTTGTGATGAGAGAGTACACGTCTTGTAAGAATTCCGAGCAGCAGAATATGCAGGAACAGGCAGAGAAGGACTTCATTGGCAAGTGAGGTTAATCAGTTGTGCTAAGATATTCACGAACCACAAAATGTTGCAATTACTGGATGCTCAGCGTGGTCAGCTTGGAACTGCACAGATGAAGAATCATCCATGAACATCATGATAATGCTAAAAATAGGTCTTCCCTTTTCAATGTTAAACAGCTGAGACAGAAGGAAATCAGTGCTCTACGCTTCTATAATTTAACTGGCATTCTGACAAAGAGAGGATGACAAATCCAAAGCTGATGAGTTATTATTGCGAGGGGTGGAGAAAATCAGAATAATTGCCTCTACTTGGTGCGACTGAACCGACAACTGATATCATTAGATATGACAATTTGAAAGAACTAAATCGAAGGGAGAGGCTTGTTGACATGGTCACAAATTATGACATACAGTTTAATAGACAGGTAGCTCTGGTGTACACTTTTGCCCTAGGTATTGAAGAATACTGGTTATACCAAATGCAAATGCACAAAACAATTAAACCATGCGTTGTTCTGCATCTAACTATGGATTTCTTGTTAAAGTACTTCCAGCTGATATTTAGATACAACTGAAAACATTCCAATACCCAGATAAAATCAATTCTGCGCCAGTTGTTTTGGATTATGACCTTTATGCCTTGACATCTCCCAACCTCCCCGACGTGCTTACTTCCCAACCCAGTACCCGCTGCTTCCGCTCGATTGGCTCCGGCCTCCTGCACGTTCCTCGTGCCCTCCTTTCCACCATCGGTGGCCACTCTTTCAGCCACCACGCCCCGACACTCTGGAACTCTCTTCCTCTATCATGAGGGGTGCTAGGGGGCAAGAGGGGAGCTATATAAATACAAGTTGTTTTACTGTTGAATTACTGTGTGGTGGAAAAGTCCCATTTGTAGCAGACTTTTATTTGTCCTCTGTAGCACTGTTTGTTCTTTCTGCATGTACTTGGGAGGAGGACACAGTTACTAACACATTTCAAGATAGAACATGGCCTTTCAGTTTAATTGCTAGCAATATTTAGTAAATAAAGAACAAAGAAATCATCTTGCTTTTAAAGTTATATTGTTCAGTTGGATTGCATTTTATAAATGAAGAGTCAGTTACAGGAATTATAATTTGAGTGTCTGGCCATTTTTGCATCAGGAACGCCAGATTACAAAAGCAATATATATGCCTGTTGTGAATAAAACAGCTCCTAATAATTATTCATTCAATCGCTCAATCATTCAATCCACAACGGTTTGTGGGACGCTGCTGTGCACAATTGGCTGCCAAGTTTCGCCCACAAAACATAAGGTCAATTCACCTAACAGCATATTCTATGGAGCGCTTTGAGACGTCTCAATGACATGATAAGGTACTATATCAAATGAAAGGAGTATTATTATTACTGTTACTCGTAGCTCATTGCCCCAAACTGCAAAAATTGCACTAAAGATCCCCATTTGATTTCATTCAACACTTGGGGTTTGCTGTGTGAGCAGTGGGTTAAAGGGATACGCTTTGTGTTTTACCACACCAAATTCTGCTTGCAATTTAACCAAATTCACAAACTGGTGAGGTTGCCTAAGGCCATCGCTGCAACAATCTACTGAATTCCAGAGCCAAGGTCGAACTCCAGACCCGGCAAGCTCTCAATACTCAAATTGCTCGTAGAAAACGAGTTTGCCTGTCTTTTTTCCGGGCAAAGAAGGAAGCATCCAAAGGAATATCACTCATACCTCAACAAAGGATCCCACGCCGAGAGCTTCTGTTGACAGAGATGTAAATAATGCATTATTGTGAACAGATATTTGAGTTTCATATTTATAATATTAAAATCTGCAAGCTGGATCATTCACTTTCTTGTAAGGTATATTGCGTAGGTGGGAATAGTAATCCTTGCATTCGATATGGCGCCTTATCATATCTACGAGAACTCTGGAATGAAGAAGGAAACCAAACCGAACTGGGATTATAAGGCAGACAAAGAATATATAACATCTGGAATTGAAGTTGCATCAACAAAATAATCATCTTATCCTTCTTAGGCCCTCCGTGCTTAAATCATATCAGTTAAAAACAAGCCCTACTTAAATAAACATTTCTTCTCAAAGGAAGTTAAGTACACAGCGTTTTCATCTATTTGTTCGTATGAGTACATAGTTAAAGGTTATTCAATCAATGAATATCTTTTATTATTATTCGTATATGCAACACAGAACATATTCCTCCATCAATGTTCCTTTAGCCATTACAAGTCTTCGAAAATGACAAAATCCCTCCTTGCTTTAACAAAAGTGATAGATTGAGGTTGACGTTGCTGTGCTTCAGCTGTGATAATAGAGTGCTTCTTTGTATTAAAGAATAAAAATCCAGATGGATTGCAAATGTGATGGAAAAGGTTTGCATGGTGCCAATTTTACGTCGCAAGATGGAGCAATTGGATTCATAAATACTATCACGCACATCATTGAAAACATTTCCCAGATGAAAAATGTATTTCACTTATTTCTTCTAACTTCAGCTGAAACGTATCTGACTTCAGGTGGCAACTTTGGAAAGAAAAAGACCTTATGGCTCCAAGTGTGAAACTCACTATTTCAGAAACACAACGCGCAAATCTTCTTGCCTTTCAGAAGTTAATAAATATAAATAACTTTCGATTCTAAGCAATCAACTCAAACTCTGAAATCACAGTTGCCAATGTTTCAATGTGGTCAGATTTAAGCACAGACACAGATAAATAAGACTATCATCCGTGGACTTGATATAGAACCTTTCACATCAGGAGGATGTCTCAAAGTGCTTCACAGGATTTATTGCGAAGTGTGTTGTCTGTGTGTTTAGATGACCTAACCTACAAACATCTGGTGATGTTCAGTTGGCAAACTGAATTAAACCATCACCATAAATCACACAGTATAATTCATAAAAATAGACACAGTAAAACCAGAGTAAAACTCTCAAACCTGCAATCTCATATTTCAGTTCAGATGATTGTAAGTTGCTGGAGCAGCACTTTTGAAAATTATAACAGTTCTTAGCTCCTTATTCACATTATATTGCCTTGTAATTACTCCAAGATACTCATTATGGCCTGTAAACATATATGTGTAAAGTTTGTTACACCATAATATATTTGTTGCAACACCCGACAACCAACGAGTTGTGCATTGAAAAGTCTAGATTTTTGAATTGTTTCGGAGATGGACTCACTTAGAATAATCGTAAAATAAACTCTTCAGCGACAACTGTAGAAAAAAACATTTATTCTGAGTTTGTTTTAAATGAGAACAATTGATGGCAACTAATTTTTGAAATTGACAGTGTACATGTAGATCAATCCATCCATATATATATAATACTTGCATTGAATATAGCGCCTTATCACATCTTCGAGACATCTCAAAGCGCTTCACAGAATATACTGTAAAGTGTAGGCACTGTATTTTGTATTGTAAATTTGATTTGTATATAAAAATCATTGCATTGAAAAGTTCAATGGCAGCAACTTTTGATTTACTCTATTTGACGAAGACTGAAGAAAGGATTGCAAATATCAAATTATTGTCGACTTATTTAAGTAAAATAAATCAAGTCCCTTACAACTGGAAAAATTGATGTTTTTAAGTTAATCAGCAATCAAGTTTCCTTCAGTCTTAAAGTTGTATTGAAATACATGGCATGATCACTACTAAATACAATAACAGTGAGAAAAGAGCTGCTCGTGTGGGCAGTGAGAAAATAGCCAGTGTATACATTTTACTGAAATAACAGTAAAAAATGCTTAGGCTGCCACCTACTGTACATCAGGAGTTAGTCTATTAACTGTATGTTTGAAGGTTTGACAGTTAAAACCTCCTTATAATCACCTGCATTACACTATATTGATAAACGTAGAATTCTAAAAGAAAAAATATCCTGCGTCCTGTTTTTATGCTGTGCTGTGATCTTCCACAACGTGTGTCCACGTTAAAAAAATAGTTGCAACTGAACTGAATATGTAAACTCAAAATCTTCTTCTCACACTTACCTTACAGATAAGTTGCTCGCATATAGGTCATTAGCCCGTAAACACAGCAGCTTTGCAAACTTTGCAGGATCATGAATTAACTCCCTTTATCTGCCATACATAAATATACATAAATTCAATACGACAATTGAATTAGATGGGCAAATAATTACGTGACCAATTGACAGAAAGTTATTTCATCCCTCTTGGCCAATCCTTCCTACGTTTGTTTTGGGGGCAGTCGCACATTCGCAGTTCGGTCCGCAAATGCAATGATTTGTAGGTTAAAATATGATCACGGAAAGTACAGGGAGTTGTGGATGTGATTCTCATTCTCTGATAATATCGCCTGCAGGTGGCATCCCCCTTCCTCAAATAAGGAAGCCGATTTAAGTTGTGCGTAAACTCCAGTCTGGTAGGCAAGTTAAAGTAACTGATCAGGACTTCAACCTTGTAGTATTTTTCAAAGTGCTGCACTATGTTGTGTTTGAACATTGAAAATGTGAACTTTTCTGTCCACCTGGAAAAGCAATACATTCCAACCGTGATTTTCATCGCACGCTTGTTTCTGTAATTCGCACCTATTTAGACACATCACCCTCCAGACAATTTGCTTTGTCACAAATTGTTTTGACATTTTTTTTTCCCCCTCGCGCCACCTGGAACGAGCCGTTTCACACCACGCTCGAGGAATATGTTAAACAGTCACACTTACCTGTACTGGTGCTCGTGGCAAAGATGTCAGGTGCCGAAGTAACTGGAATGTGACCATTATTGAACTGTTTCATCCGCTTCAAGTGAGATTTCCCATTATAGTGAACCTCAGCCTGTGCTGGAGAGTTTAATTGGATGTTACACACTTCACACAGTGCGAGTCCTATTCTCCTTTTCTCCTGGTGTAGACCTTGATAGTCCAAGCCTTCAGTGTTGGCTCCTTTCCCACCGCTGTAGCCAAAAAGGTCTTCGGAACTCATCGTGCCATCTTCAACAGCATGATCCGGGCTTCGTGGGCGCTTCATACCTTCAAAGATTACAGTGCAAGACATTTAAGGAAGCAGAAGACATTCCATACACGGTATTACAATTGAAAAGATGTACTCACAGCTGAAAGGGATTACCAGAAGGGTGGCTGAGGTCAGGACACTGGGTGGAAGAGTAAATGAGCCAAGGGGCCGGTTTCATTGAACCTCATTGTGTGATGTGCATTGTAGTTCGGGAGATTGTTTTATATTAAGTGGTTCCTTTGAGCACTGCCCACAGTATTTATTCTGCCCAAAGCACTTATTTAATGCCTCAGAAACCTCCTAATGTCTTACGGATACCGTTTGATCTATTAGGTATAGCAAACTACACACCGATAAATAGGAGATTAGGAAAACGTTTAACAGTACAGACAAAAACCTCGGGCCTTTTTAGAATTTAATGGCTTGGTGGCCTTGTATTTTTCAACATATCTACCCCTCTGTCAGTCTAAAAGAGCTGTTCCATCCTGGCAGAAAATAGTGGAAACTGCTGGTTTCAGACTTTGAAAGAGTTTAAATCCTGTACGGTCAAAATCAAACTAATTAAATGCACATTGTGCTTTCACCTCTTCCTGGACAAAGTGTCAGTTTTACAACTTGAATTTGTATAGCCCCCTTCACATAGGATAATGTCTGGGAGTGCTTCACAGGGTCTGTGCCAGGCACCGAGCAGTGGAAGAGGGCGAGGGTGAAGGCGGAGGTGATTGAAGAGGTATGTTTTTCGGTGGAGTGGGGGGAGGGCAAAACAGAACAGCAGAGGGAGGAAATTCCAACGATCTGGAGCAAAGTTGCTTAAGGCTTAGCCACCGATAATGGTGGGGAGGAGGCAGTGGGTGCACAGTAGAACAGATTTAGCAGAGCAGGTGATCTTAAGAGTGGGATAGAAGGTCACAGAGATGCTAGGCCATAAAGGGATTAATAGGTAAGGACCTTGAAATTGATCTGCTGGGAGACAGGGAAGATTGATAAGGATTTGGCTGATGGGAATGCAGAGTTTTGTGTGGTGGAATTTTGCATAAAATGAACCTTTTGCGGATGATGGAGCGAGAGAGACTGGCAAGACGAGGATTAGAGAAGTCAAGTTTCACACTAATTCAGTGAGTTTGAGAAAGAGAGAATATTAGCTCTTTATCAAAAACAGCTTCTGAACTTGTTTCAGATAACAACTATGTGTGACTCCGTCTTGAACAAACGAATGTACTGAGAGCAGGAACGACTTCAGTTATAAAATCAAAACAATACACTGTGTTACAGCTTTAAGTGTCCTTGTGGAACCACACAAAATTCAGTCAGTCAACCATTAAAGCTTAATAGACTGTCAAACAATGGTGAGCACTGCAAATATCCCAACTTGCATTCCAAATCAATAATAAAATGAACAAATGGAACCACTTCAGTCAATTGCTTCCTTAACTATTCAGTGAATTAAATGCGATTATGTCAGCACTTGAAGTTCTCCAGGTGGCTTTTTGAAACAGTTCAGGTTATGTCACAGTCCTGCACTCAAGAATAATTAAGCGATAAATCAGACTCAACCTAATGATTCTCAGCAACCACTTCAATTATCTAATCTCATGCGTGATAGGGGCAATCCTCTATTGCTGGTAAATTTACCTAGCGAGATAGTGGGAGTTTGTAATGAGAATAATGCATTTTAATAGCACACTGCCAAAGGGCAGGGCATTTATCAACAAGTAGAAGTTAACACACATTATCAATCAGCTGTGTGCAACAGTAACTGCATCTAACTGTACTGGAGGGACGTTGAAAATGTTATTATCAGAACCATGTTATTCACATTTTGGGTGAAAAAAAGTTATAACAAAGTCTAAACGTAACCGTTTTTATACGTATAGGAAAAATGCATCTGCACACGCAAAGTATTACAGGCACGAAAAAATCATTAGGCCTGAAAATTGTGAAGATTTTCCGAGCTCATTCTCCAGACTTTCCGATTGTTTGTTCAACACCTTCACTATTAATGAACCTTTGGTGGGTTTATGACAGCGATTAAATTGGGCTGATCAAGGAGGCCAGAATAAAGCTTGGAACTTAAATGCCTCATCTTTCTTTTATGAAAAGAAACAGCTATTTTCTAGAGGAAGATTTCACTTTACCTCAGGGATTACATTCTCAGTTATCAGTTTAAGGATATCATACTTTTTACACTACTTTAGATTGATACTTTTGAAAGCATTCATAAACATTCTTGAAACTCCATACTCCATACTTCTATGTTTCAGTCTCCCGCTTTCTAGATCAGTCTTTATATCCCGTCTTAAAACCTTTGACTGCACCTACGGACACCTCCCCTTTTCTCCTCTCCCTCTCTTGATGCCTGACCTCTTCATTGTTGCTCTCTGCAAGATGTTATCCCACGTGGAAGCTTGTGTATAAATACAAGTTATTTTTGTTAGTCCACAATCAGGTCTGTACCTAACCTTAACACCGACGCCCCTGTTCAGTTTATGCATTGCACCATATTAGCCTCAAACAGAATATGAGCTCCATCGATGAGCATTTCATGTCACAAACCTTAGGATCAGAACAGCGACACCCACAACGTGAAAAGCGGAAGAAATCCCATGTGGCCGAGGAAAGTGCGGAGACAACAGTGCACAAATTCTCATAGGAACATGCCCTCAAGATGTTACAGATAAAAAGAGTCACTTGTTTGCACGCATCTTCTACAGAGGTAATAAAGGAAAGATGTGCCTGTCACCCAGTATGCACAGCTGCTGTCCCTTTGCCATCCCACCAGATATACTTATAATAATAATAATCCTTGCATTCGATATAGTGCCTTATTACATCTTCGAGACGTCTCAAAGCACTTCACAGCATATACTGCAAAGTGAATTGACTGTATGTTTTGTGGGTGAAACACGGCAGCCAATTGTGCATGGCAGTTGTGGATTAAGCAACCAATTTTTTTTTAAGGGATTAGTACCCCCGGAAAAGCGATCTGCCAATCGACTAACAACTGGGTTCTTCCTCACTGCTAGGTACACAGAGGCGTTTGGAGTAAGGAAAATTGCCTAGTGTTTCGCCCAGGAATTGAACCCAGGTCCTCTCGCTTGCGAGGCGAGTGCTCTAACCACTAAGCTACAGGACTCTATTTGTGTAGTTTAGGTTCCTCAACACCTTGAAACATCTGAATGTGCTTATGTATAAATTGTTTTTTTTTCCTATAAGTCAATATTCAGGTCAAGAAGTATTTGACTGTTGGGGTTATGTAACCAACCTTAAAAGTGTTCTGTTCTGTAATGGCATTATGTCCTGGTCAATCCTCCAGCTTCACAAGATCACAGCTTTCTCTGGTTAAGCAGTGCAGATAGGACACTGACAAATTGGTGGCTTTTTATTGGCTTCACTTAAAGTCTTGTTGAATTTCAGGCAGCAAATCTAAGCACTTAACTTTCATTACCAATTAAAATCATCCACTCTAACTGTGAGAGATGCAAAACAAGAATGATCTTCAGCGCTCATGAGAATAAAAAGTTTCACAATGTACACAGTCATTATACTTCACAATGAATCCCATGAAGTGCTTTCAGGCAATACTCCCCACACAAAAGACACTGTATGAAATGCAAGTATTCTTAATTTGCTATTATTATTAGGTTAAATTGGCCCCTCCCATGCTTAGGGAGGTGGAAACCAGTCAGAGTTCCTGCTCCTGGACCCTCTCCTGCACCCTCTATTGGCTGTTTTGTGGAATCGCACCCCAGATATTACACCAGGTGCAGAGAGGAACGCGTAGATGGGGGAGAAAATTAGAAAAATATAGAAGGCAAAAAAAAATTAAAAATAGTTTACTCAGCGAACCGGAGCAGGAGCTTGTTATGTGTGGGATTAAATTATATTCAATCAATGAGAGAGACAGATTGTCTAACTTGCTTCTTGTATTTTTTGCCTTCTAATTATCAACCACACTATTGAAACAGAGGTAAGTAACACTGTCGTTTTGTCTCAAGACTAACCAAAAATACATTTGCAAAGAAATCTTGACAGTCACGGTCCGCACTTAAAACAGTAGCTTTACAAAGTGAGTTTTTAACATAATTTAACATTATTCAATGAAGTGGCCATGTTCCATTGGAATCTACTCATCTTTATCTGCCTTCCAACTGCAGAACCTTCTGACTTATAGGTGAGAGAGCTACCAAGTAAACCAGATAAATCATGCCCTACAGATAATTTAGGAAGAATATGGTTTAATTAGTTTTATTACCAAGTTAAATCAGCAGCTATCTGGAGCTGGGATCTTACTTGCTCCATAAATGTGAGAATATTCACAGTTAGGCGAGAAAGAAGATCTCAGTTATTGGTGACAGAATGAAACCCAAGTTTCATCAATCTAAATGTTAAGCACAAGGTTTAAAGCCAGTAATAAAATCTGAATCCTGGAGCCCTTGTCTGGTTTGGAGTGCTTGGCTAGTAGTACATCATCCCACTTTGAAAACCTTACTGTACTGATGTTTTATAAAGTTTAATCCAGCAGTGTTGAGTCATATCCCTTATGGATATGACCTTTGGAAGCTGCGCATTTTTTTATATTAGTAATATTCCATCATAGAAAAATAGTTTATGTCACACTCTTCACTGGTTGTGCAAGATACCAACATCTAAATGAAATTATGTAAATGTCCCCTGATCACCAGTGACGAATTTGCAGTCACTACCAAGCTGTTGTCTTTTACAGTCAAAATGAAACACTACATAAAACGTTAACATTCTGTTATTGCCAATGTGACTATGTGGCAAACTAGCACAGTGTTTTTTTTTGTGTTCCTACAATAGATCTGACCTAAAAACTTCTTGATTGAACGCACATTGACATATTGCTGTAAAACAGACACGGCTGTTTTTCTCTTTTTAAAAATAAATTGTTGCCACAGAAACAGCATACATTCACGCAGTGATTAAAAACTCCGGCAGGACAGCTGAACGCATTCGTTTACCACAACACAGCATTTTTAGTAACAGCAATCTGTCC